TTGAGGTACAGAACATGTATATATGTATACCTTAACATGTGTATAACAAACTCAAAGAAATGTACAATGAGGTGTTTTACTTCATGTAAATTGTACCTTAATTAAACATTTATTATAAATTTTTTAAAACAACCTAAAACAAAAGACATTTAAATAACTTTTTTCTAAATTGTATTTTTAATTTTTGAGACAGTCTCACTCTGTCACTTAGGCTGGAGTGCAGTGGCATGATCTCAGCTCACTGCAACCTCTGCCTCCTAGGTTCAAGCAATTCTCGTGCCTCAGCCTCCTTAGTAACTGGGACTACAGGCACCTGTTTATATCTTTAGTAGAGACAGGGTTTCACCATGTTGGCCAGGCTGGTCTTGAACTCCTGCCTTAAGTGATCCACCTGCCTTGGCCTCCCAAAGTGTTGGGATTGCAGGCATGAGCCACTGCACCTAACCTGAACCTTCTTTTTTTTTTGATGGGACAAACATCTAGTCTCTTGGTAATGATAAAGAGCAGCTACTGACACATGAATTCTTTTTTTTTTTGAGACTTGAGTTTTGCTCTTGTTACCCAGGCTGGAGTGCAATGGTGCGATCTCGGCTCACCGCAACCTCCGCCTCCTGGGTTCAGGCAATTCTCCTACCTCAGCCTCCCAAGTAGCTGGGATTACAGTCACGCGCCACCATGCCCAGCTACTTTTTTGTATTTTTAGTAGAGACAGGGTTTCACCATGTTGACCAGGATGGTCTCGATCTCTTGACCTCGTGATCCACCCGCCTCGGCCTCCCAAAGTGCTGGGATTACAGGATTACAGGCTTGAGCCACCGCGCCCGGCCTTGACACATGAATTCTTATGATTGCATCTAGTTATTTTATCATCAAAAGAGAATCTGATGACATCATCAGAGAAGACAAAAAACCACAGAAACTGGAGAGACATAGAATCAAGACTGGATATCTGATTCATGATTTTTCAAGGGTCTCAAATTGTCCTGCCTGAAAAGTGTCAGCCCTCTTAAGATTCTTCACATGTATACTCAAACTACTCTACCATAAATGTTAAGAGTCTCCAATAATCTATATAAAATTCCTACATGACCTTAGGAAAATAAAAGGTAAGAGATTATCCTTGATTTTAACTAAATTGAGACACAGCCAGTTCCTTTTCTGCACATACACAATTTCATATTGCGTAGATTAAATAAGGGGCTTTGTAAACTTAATGGCAAAAAGTCCAAGGTCAGTGCACAGATAACCTGAAAATTACAGTTGAGCCTCCAGGCAGTGCTGTGAATCAATTTTATATTCACATGCTTTTGAGATGGGCCACATGTTTCACCTTTCTGTCATTCTTATCACCTTTCTTGGAATAATCAATCTCATAATATCATGTAACTAAAAATAACAAACAACTTCCTTTATGAGTATACAACTAACTCTTTAGAGTCCAGGTAAGTATCTTCATAAACACCTCTTTTCGCTGATACCTCCCCCCGCCCCCACCCCAGTGAGTTAGGCTGGGAAGTGGCATGTTTACATTTCTTTTCTGTAAGTAAAGGCCTTTGTAATTTAGAAAAGACAAATGAAGGTTATGAGATCGCTTGCATTAAGGCCAGCTAAGGCCAGTAATATCCTAAAACTTTCTACAGCAAGCTCCAAACCAAGTGTCTCCATTGACTCAACTCTATTTTCTTATGGACAGATATCCTAGAAGTAGCAGTGCCTTAAGTAATCTAGCTGAAGTTACAAAGTGGCAGGCCTTACCACAGCTTACACAGTATACTGTACTTCATTTAACCTTCTTTCATCTGTTTCTTTTTCCTCCCAGGAAAGAATGAAATACAAAAGAAAAATAATTCTATTGTTATTGATTATATTGTCTTTATGGGCCTTGTATACAGAATATTATTTCAGGTAATTACAAAAACTTAATTTTTTCCTGATGTTTGGTAAGGACCTGGTATATCAAAAAGGTAGCAAGTCCAACCCTTGAATAAATCAGCATCCAAATGTATCAACCCAAATATATCCAAGTGACATCAAAATATATTAGCATAAACAAAGCCTTCGGCATCTAAAGTTTTGTTCCTACTGAGGTCAAGGCTAAAGATAATTTATGTGGGCCCCCATGTGTGAGGAGAAGCAATGTTAAGCTACCAGTGACTGTGGCAATGCAATGTTAGTAAATATTACAGAGAAACTGCCATTTTGAAATAGGTGGCATCTCCTTTAAGAAACATCCCTAATAGGCTGGGCACATTGGCTCACGCCTGTAATCCCAGCACTTTGGGAGGTTGAGGCAGGCAGATCACCTGAAGTCAGGAGTTCGAAACCAGCCTGGCCAACATGGCAAAACCCTGTCTCTACTAAAAGTACAAAAATTAGCTGGGAGTGGTGGTGCACGCCTATAATCCCAGCTACTGGGGAGGCTGAGGTAGGAGAATTGCTTGAACCTGAGAGGTGGAGGTTGCAGTGAGTGGTGCCACTGCACTCCAGCCTGAGAGACAGAGTGAGACTCCATCTCAAAAAAAAAAAAAAGAAACATTCCTAATGTCCTAATGTTGGTGACTTCAGGTACTACATATAGTAATTGCCCTCTACAAATTTGAGGCAAGTAAAAAGACTTTGTTGACAATTAGCAAGCTTCACTGATCTCATGATATTAAGTAAGCTTCTTTTTAATCTGTGTCTCAAAGAATTAGGTTGTGGATGTTGTTGTTTTTAAGATATAGCATATGAGGTCTTTAATTGCGATAATTCTTATGTACATTACTGTATCTCTAGAATCAACAATGTACCTGGCACATAGTATGTGTTCAGTAAATATTTGGAAATATTAGGTAATAAAATAAATGGATTGGTGGATTCTAGCTCTAGTCATCTTACATGTGGACCCCTTTTATATACATTTAAGAGTAATATAATGCTTTTCATTTATCCTAAGCACAGAGAAATTACAAAGGATGTATCATTGCTGGTAAGTCTTTATTTTCAAATATGGGTTGACCTCTTCTTTGAGGAGTAAACTGAGGGGAGGGCAATGGAGCACCTGTAGTTCCTTGGTTGCTGCAGGCAGAGTAAACCAAAGCAATTTTATGAACACATGTTAGAGATAATTTGCTTAAGATCAGAGTGCTAGGAACCTAAGCCAGAGCAGACTGGAGAGTGCCATCTCTGATAGAGGGGTGGGAGCTTGTTAGAAGAAGCATATTCCAGGAGCCAGAACCCAGCCTCCAGTAACATGTGGCCCTTTAAAGCTCTGGGCAAACATAAAGGAATAAAGACTTGGCTAAAAGAGTCTCAGGAAATCATATTAATATTAACTACATACCACCTAGAAGATCATCCCGCAGGAATGTGTCCAGAGAGGAAAACTTTCCCAAAGATTGTACAAAATACAATATTATAATATGTTCTTCAATTTCTCCTACGCTTATGGGAACCCACATGTGAAGTGAAGAACAACTTTTCCTTCTGATGCTTGATGTGTCCAGGGTCCTTGTCTCTCTGATGATGCTATAATTTACAACACCCCACGAACACCATGACCATGGGTGGTTACCATGGGTGAGGACCATGGGTGAGCTGTATTATGCATGAAAATAATATATTAAGAAGTTATGGCTGGGTGCATAACCTGGCCAACATGGAAAAATCTTGTCTTTACTAAAAATACAAAAAATTAGTTGGACGTGGTGGCGCATGCCTATAATCCCCGCTACTCCAAAGGCTGAGGCAGGAGAATCGCTTGAATCCAGGAGGCGGAGGTTGCAGTGAGCCTAGACTGCACCATTGCACTCCAGCCTGTGCAATTGAGTGAGACTCCATCTCGGGGGGGGGGAAAAAAAGAAGTTATGTTTCTCCAATATACAGCCATGGCAAACAGGGGATAGTAATGTTCAACAACCTGTAAACAGCAGGAAACCCCTAGGGAAAGATGGGAATATTCAAGGAAAAACTGCTGCAGCAGAGGCTGGGATAAGAAATTGATTAAAATGTTTTCTGTCAAATGCATATGTGTATGTGTGCATGCACGCGCATGCGTGTGTGTGTGCGCGTATATATATATATATATATATATATATATATTTTTTTTTTTTTTTTTTTTTTTGAGACGGAGTCTTACTCTGTTACCCAGGCTGGAATGCAGTGGCACAATCACAGCTCACTGCAGCCTCTACCTTCCAGGCTCAAGCAATCCTCTCACCTCAGCCTCCTACGTAGCTGGGACTATAGGCATGCACGACTACACCTGGCTAATTTTTGTATTTTTTGTAGAGACAGGGTCTCCCTATATTGCTCAGGCTGGTCTTAAACTCCCGGGCTCAAACCATCCTCCTGCCTTATCTCCCCGAAGTGTTGTGATTACAAGTTTGAGCCACCATGCCCAGCCTGCCAAATGTATTTAATGTAATACATTCTAACAATAGTTCTATTATTAATATTAGTTCATCTTAGCATCAGGATTCTGTAGCCTTAACATACCAATACTCAACACTCAAAGGCACAGCTGTCAATGGTAGTGGGTATTTGAGTAGAACACCATGTCTTAGTCATACTCCTAACATTGCAATTATTCCTATTTATATGTATAGGACAGAATGTCTCATGACATAGGATTAAGCAACATAGCTACCCAATCCTTTCATTAACTCAGCCCAGGATCAACTCTTCAAGGGTGTCCTAGCTCTACAGCCAGAGTGCGCTTAGAGTATACAGAAAAGAGGAGGAAGAAGGATTCAGGCAAAACCACTTGTCTTTCCACTTACTATGTGACTCTGGACAAGATATTAATAATAAAACCTCTTTATACCTCTGTTTCTTTAATAGTGATAGTACCTCATATGTCTTCTCTATGGATTAAATTAGGAAAGTGTTCAATAAATAATAGCCATCTAGGAGATTAGGGAATTTCCCTTAGGAAGGGATATTTAAAATCAGATTTTTGGGGGCTGGGTGCAGTGGCTCACGCCTGTAATCCCAGCACTTTGGAAGGTTGAGGTGGGCAGATCACTTGAGGTCAGCAGTTCAAGACCAGCCTAGCCAACATGGTGAAACTGCATCTCTGCTAAAAGTACAAACATTAGCCAGGCATGGTGGCACATGCCTGTAGTCCCAGCTATTTGGGAGGCTGAAGTGAGAGAATCACTTGAACACAGGAGGAAGAGCTTGCAGTGAGCCAAGAGAGTGCCACTGTACTTCAGCCTGGGCAACAGAGCAAGCCTCCATCTCCAAAAAAAGTCATATCTGAAGGCTATGTAGGAATTTACTGGCTGAAGTAGTGGCATTAAGGAAATGAAAGGCCAGTGAGGGTGGAAAATTATCATGGTAAGGGCTTGGTAGGAGATGTGGGCTGGAACAGTATAAAAGGCCAGGTCATGCAAAACATTGGATCATATAATGTGGACAATCAGGGCAAGAGGAAGCCACTGAACAGTTCTTTTTTTTTTATAAGATGCAGTTTTGCTCTTGTTGCCCAGGCTAGAGTACAATGGCACAATCTTGGCTCACTGCAACCTCCACCTCCCGGGTTCAAGTGATTCTCCTGCCTCAGCCTCCCGAGTAGCTGCAATTACAGGCATGCACCACCACACCCGGCTAATTTTTGTATTTTTAGTAGATAAAAAGTTTCTCCATGTTGGTCACGCTGGTCTTGAACTCCTGACTTTGTGATCCGCCCGCCTTAGCCTCCTAAAGTGCTGGGATTACAGGCGTGAGCCACTGCACCCAGCCCATTGAACACTGTTAAGAAGAATAATGACATGGTACAACTGGAGCTTTGGAAACATGATATTGGAGGCAGAGTGGAAATATGGAGATTGGGTTAAAAAGGGGCAATGCTAGAATAAGCAGAGAGGGCAACACCTTGTTGATTCTGGGGAATGAGAATATGAAGGTTCATTATATTACTCTCTTCATATTTGTGTGCCGTTGAGATTTCTCATATTCTAAAGTCTGTCTTCTTTTTCTTTTTAAGTTTTTAGAGATAGGGTCTCACACTGTTGCCCAGTCTAGAATGCAGTGACTTGATCACAGTTTGTTGTAACCTGGAACTGCTGGGCTGAATTGATTTCTCCTGCCTTGGCCCTTCCCAGAGGACTGGGATTATAGGTGTAAAGCCACCGCACCTGGCCCAAAGCCTTCTTTTAAAGTATATGAACAGTAAGACCAATTAGGAGGCTATTGCAGCAGCCCAGATAAGAGATGATAGGGACTTGAAGTCATGTGGTGGCAGGGAATGGAGCCAGGTAATGGAGCTGAGAGATGCTTTGGGAAGTAAAGCCAAAAAGTTAGTGACGGATTGATGCTAGGTAGCATTCTGAGTAGAGAATGACTCCACCTGACAATCCAGGTGGATCCAGTAATATAAGGCACCACATGAAGAAAGCTACTTTCGGGAAAATTATTTTTACATCAAACATTCTCATTTTGTAGTGTCTATGCAAAATGCAAGTAGAGAACTTCAGAACACAGTTAGATATCTGGGTCATAAGTTCATGGGAGAGGTCTAAGTTGTAGGTAAAAATGTGAAGCACAGGAAAGTGCCAGAAGAGAGTGTCACGTGATAAAATAGAGGACCTGGGATAAACCCTTTGGGAAGAGCTGTCTAATCAAGGCTTCTGACAAATAGGATATTTAAGGCTAACCTTAGAAAGAAAGTAGGGGTATATTTCCATTGTGAAAAAAGAAAAACAGTTCAGTGCTATAGCTACATTTGGAGGAAAGGTGGCAGAAAGTTGAGGAAGATTTCATCTGTTGGTCACTATTTTCCATGTGAATTAGAAGAACAAGCATGAGAACTCTGAAAACATATCAAGATTTTTGGGCAGCACAAAGACTTGAGTTGGGAAACATGATGTTTTCGTGCCACCACCATCAAAGTTCATCATTGTTTTTCTTACTGCTTCACTCTTATTTTCATTTTGTGTCTTATTATAATACAGCCCATGACTTGACAGATACTCAATTATGTATAGTAGATAGTTTGAGATAATTGAGTACTTATCAAGTCTTGGGCTATATTGCAATATGATGCAAAATGTAAAATACCTACTATATCTACCATTATCTACTGTATCTACTACATATCCAGTACAGCTACTATAGCTACTATTCTAATAGAAATAGTATGACTATTTGCATTATTTTTTCTTATAGGTCTCAGAAAAACCAACCAGGATTACAGCTATCAGATTGGTTTCATCCCAGGTAAGAATCCAAGGCTTGCACATATGACATTAATCCATATACATTAAATGATGGCCACAGTACTACTACTGGCATTCCAATTGTTGGAGAGTTGATAGATCTCTGATTGCAACGTTTCAAAATAGAAGCAGTGACCAAGAGCCATGGGAGCTGGACATTTGGACCTACATCTTCCATGAGTGTGAACTTTAATTACATAAACTCAAAGGTCCTAGAAGGATGCCAGGCCAAAAATGCAAGGGTATATTTGAGATTATTTGGTTGAGTCTTCTCATTTCACCAATAAGACCTGAAGCCCAAAGGAGACAGACAGGTGAGCTGTCTATGCACTTCCTGCATTAGTCCAACAGACTTCCTCTGGCCCCTCTGTTTCTATCTTCTCTTTCCACCCACCCATCTTTCACCCTGATGCTACAGTTTTTAAGGAATTTCCCTAATTAAACTTTAAAAGGAGACATCCAGGTTATGATCATGACTGAATAATGGTTCATGACTCATATTCTCAACACTATAACATTTATCAGAGTCCAATCAGGGCACAGAAAGCACACCAATTATTTAAACAGATAATTGAATATAAAGAATTGTTAACGGCCAGGCACGATGGTTCACACCTGTAATCCCACCACTTTGGAAGGCCAAGGCAGGTGGATCACTTAAGGCCAGGAGTTCAAGACTAGCCTGGCCAACATGGTGAAACCCGTCTCTACTCAAAATACAAAAATTAGCAAGGTGTGGTGGCAGGTGCCTGTAATCCCAGTTATTTGGGAGGCTGAGGCAGGAGAATCGCTTGAACCCGGGAGGCAGAGGTTGCAGTGAGTTGAGATCATGTAATTGCACTCCAGCCTGCTGGGTGACAAAAACAAAACTCCACCTCCAAAAAAAAAAAAAAAAGGAGAATTGTTAACTAGTATAAAGTTGTTAACTAGGGAAGGGAGAGACTGAAAGAGAACTCTAAGGGATCAGGGAGGATAACAACTACAGGAACTATTCCTAGGGTTGAAGAAACAAAAGAAGGAAGAGGTTGAAATTCCTTCTTTTTTTACCTCAGTTAAAATGGGCAAAGACCCTATTTCCAAATAAGGTAAAACTCCAAAGTCCTAGCTGGAGATGAGTTTGGGGAAAAATCTATTCAACCCACTACAGGTAGGGATTATATTAAACCTATAGATCACTTTTGGGTGTGTTGCCATCTTAACAATATTAAGCTTCCTATTCAATGAATGTGGATGTCTTCCCATTTCTTTAATTTATTTCAATAATTTTGTTTTTAGTTTTCATCGTACAAGTCTTGTGCCTCCCTGCTTAACTTTTTTCCTAAATATTTCCTTTCTTTGATGCTATTGTTTTCTTCATTTCATTTTCAGGTTGTTCATTAACAGTGTATGGAAACACAAATGATTTTTGCATGTTGATCTTGTCTCCTGCAACATCTATTGGCTCTAATAGATTTTTTTTTGGTGGATTCGTTAGAATTTTCCATATGTAAGATCATGTCATCTGCTAGTAGAGATAGTTTTACTTTGGATGCTTTTCTTTTTCTTGTCTAATTGTTCTCGCTAGAACATCCAGTAAAATGTTGAATAGAAGTGGTAAAGGGGAGCATCCTTGTCTTGGTTTTGGCTTGGTGGGAGTGTGTTAGTTCATTATCATGCTGCTATAAAGAACTGTCTGTGGCTAAGTGCAGTGGCTTACACCTGTAATCACAGTACTTTGGGAGGCTGAGGCGGGCAGATCACCTGAGGTCAGGAGTTCGAGACCAGCCTGACCAACATGGAGAAACCTGTCTCTACTGAAAATACAAAATTAGCTGGGCGTGGTGGCACATGCCTGTAATCCCAGCTACTCTCGAGGCTGAGGCAGAAGTCACTTGAACTTGGGAGGTGGAGGTTGCAGTGAGCCAAGATTGCATCATTGCACTTTAGCCTGGGCAACAATAGAGAAACTCCATCTCAAGAAAAAAAACTGTTCAAGACTGGGTAATTTATAGAGAAAAGAGGTTTAATTGACTCACAGTTCCACGTGGCTGGGGAGGCCTCAGGAAACTTGAAATCATGGCAGAAGGGAAAGCTAACACATTCTTCACATGCAGCAGAAGAGAGAAGTACAGAGTTACGTGAGGGGAAAGCCTCTTATAAAATCATCAGATCTCATGAGAACTCACTATTATGGGAACAGCACAGGGGAACTGTCCCCATAATCTAATCACCTTGCACAAAGTCCCTCTATGACATGTGGGGATTATAGGAACTACAATTCATGATTAGATTTGGGTTGGGGCACAGCCAAACCATATCAAGGGAAAACTCAGTCATTCAACATTGAATATGATGTTAGCTGTGAGTTTTTTGTAGCTGCCTTTTATCATGTTGAGAAAGTTTTCTTCTACTCCTAGTTTGTTGAGTATTTTTATCATGAAAGGGTATGGGATTTTGTCAAATGCATTTTCTGCATTAATTGAGATGATCATGTGGGTTTTTTCATTCCATGAATCTAAACATTGATCGATATTTGTGTCATCAACCACTCTTGCATTTCTGGGATAAATTATATTTGGTCATGGTGGGATTTTAATACGTTTCTGGATTCAGTTTGCTATAGTTTATTGAGGATTTTTGCAACTGTATTTGTAAGGAATTTCAGTCTATAGTTTCCTTGTGATGTTTTTGACTTTGGTATCAGGGTAATATTGGCCTTGAAGCATGAGTTAGAAAGTGTTCCCTTTTCTCATATTTTGTGGAAGACTTCGAGAATAATCGATGTTAACTATTCTTTAAATGTTTGGTAGAATTCACCAGTGAAGACATCTGGTTTTAGGCTTTTCTTTGTTGAAAGTTTTTTTTTTTAATTACTAATTCAATCTCTTTACTTGTATAGATCTATTCAGATTTTCTATTTCTTCTTGAGTCAGTTTTGAAAGTTTGTGTATTTCTAAGAATCTGTTCGTTTCATCTATGTTATCTAATTTGTTGGAATATAATTGCTCATATTATTCTCTTATAAATCCTTTTTATTTCTGTAAGGTCTATAGTAATGCCCCCACTTTTCCAAATTTTAATAATTTGAATCATCTCTCTTTTTTTTCTTGGCCAATCTAACTAAAGTTTGTCAATTTTGTCAATCTTTCCAAAGAACCAACTTTTGTTTCATTCATTCTATTATTTTCCTTTTCTCTATTTCAGTTGTCTCTGCTCCCATTTTTATTATTCCCTTCTTTCTGTTTGCTTTGGGTTTAATTAGCTCCGTTTCCCCCTTAGTTCCTTAAAGTGGAAAGTTAAGTTATTGATATTAGATTTTTCTTCCTTTTTAATATGGGTGTTTACAGCAATATTTTTCTACTGAGCACTGCTCTTCATTGCATCCCATTAGTTTTGGTGTGTTGTATTTTCATTTTTATTCATGTCAACATATTTTCTAACTTCCCTTGTGATTTCTTCCTTGACCCATTGGTTGTTTAAGAGTGTATTGTTTAGTTTCTACAGATTGTGAATTTTCCAAACTTTCTGTTATCAATTCTGAATTTCATTTTATTGCTGATGAAGAATACACTTTGTATATTGTTAATCGTTTTAAGTGCATTTTTGTTAAAATGCACTTTTTATTAAGTGAAATTTTTGTTAAGCCTAACATATGGTCCACCCTGTAAAATGTTCCTTGTCTGCTTGAAAATAATTTGCATTCTGTTATTGGGTAAAGTGTTCTGTTTGTGTCTGATTCTTTTCTCTGCCTGCTCAAATCTGCTACTAAAACCCTATAGAGAGTTCTTCATTTCATTTATTGGACTTTTCAGCTCCAGAATTTCTATTTAGTTCTTTTAAATAATTTCTACCTCTTTTTTAAAATTAAAATTTTTTCTTCTACAATGTTAGGTATAAAAATTTATTTTTTAATAAACAAATAATTATACATATTAATGGGGGTACTCAGTGATGTTTAAAACATATAATGTATAGTGATCACATCAGGGTAGTTAGCATATCCATCATCTCAAACATTTATCATTTATTTGTGTTGGGAACATTCAATATTCTTCTAGCTATTTGAAACTATATATTATTGTTAACCCTAGTCATCCTATAGTGCTATAGAATACTAGAACTTATTCCTACTATTTAGCTGTAGTTTTATATCCTTTAACAAATGTTTCCCTATCCTTCCTTCCCCCACCCTTCCAAGTCTCTAGTATCCTCTGTTCTACTTTTTACTTCCGTGAGATAAACTCTTTTTAGCATTCACATGAGTGAGAACATGCAGTGTTTAGCTTTCTGTTCTTGGCTTATTTCTTTTAATATAATGTCCTCCAATTCCAGCTATGTTGCCATGAATGACAAGAGTTTGTCCTTTTTATGGTTGAATTGTAGTCCATCATGTATATATCACATTTTTTTATCCATTCATCTATTATTGGACACCTAGGTTGATTCCATATCTTGGCTATTGTGAATATTGCTTCAATAAACATGGGGGTGCAGATGTTTCTTTGATAAACTGATTTATCTTCATTTACATAACTATCCAGTAGAGAGATTGCTGGATTATATAATAATTCTAGCTATAGTTTTTTTTTTAGAATCCATACACTTTTTTCCATAGTGGCTGTACTCCTTTGCATTCCTATCAACAGTGTTGAAGAGTTACGTTTTCTCCACATCCTGTGCCAGCATTTGTTATTTTTTTGTCTCTATGTTAATAGTCATCCTAACTGAGGTGAAATGATACCTTATGGTGGTTTCGATTTGCATTTCCTTGATGATAGTGATGGTGAGCATTTTCCCCATATATTTGTCGGGTCATTCATAAGTCTACTTTTGAGAAATGTTATTCAGATCAAATGTTATTCAGAAAATGGGATTTTATTTATTTTTTGCTGTTGAGATGTTTCAGTTCCTTGTATATTGTGAATATTAATTCCCTGTTGGGTGAGTAGTTTGCAAATATTTTCTTCCATTCTGTAGGCTGTCCTTTTACTCTGTTGATTGTTTCATGTGCTGTGCAGCTTT